GCCATGTCCAGAGACAGCTGCAGGTACTCGTTGCTGGAGCTGTAGACGCTGCCAAAGTTTTTCAGTGTGTATCTGATTGCCGACTTTTCCAAGCCTCTGCAGTTGTGAGCCTGCGGCGAGTTAGCAACTTCATCAGCAACGAAGACATCAACCCAGAAGTGGCTGTCATAAGTTTTAAGTTAGATTATCTTCACAGCACTCCGGATACATTCATAGGTGCTCAGGTTCTCCCCTTAACGTATACATCAGCGTCCCACGGTCATTAGAGACAGTCATGTTTGTATTTACGGTATGCCTCTCATGCCTGTGTGTGCCAATCTTTACTATCAAATCTTGTATTCTTAGCAGTTACAATAAGTATCTTTATCATCTTCGTTATTCACTGGCTGTAAGCTCCAGTGGTAAGACATGGGTTTTTAGGGGTGTCCATTTGGACTTTGGCTTTGTGCCAGGGCCTGAGTTTTGCGTGTACATCCGGTTCACTGGCTTATTTGTGTGCAGTTGGTTGTTCCTTGCAGCTCGAGCAGAGGCACTCCGACTTCGAAGGAAGCTCCCAATTAGTCGACTTTACCATATGCTTGTTGGGGTGGCGGTGGGTCTATTCTTGTGTTCCCTACAACGGGGTCCCGGAACCCACAGGAGGGAATCAGTATCATTGACGACACATTATTGCATAATCGCAATAGTATCGTATTTCCTGCGCTGTCTCTCCAGTGGAGTGTGAATACAATGTATCCATTACTGTCTTTGTGTATACTAGGCAGTGATGCGCTAATCTCTTCCACCGTGCGACTCTTGTACCGCAGTGCGAAAACAAGAGAGTTTTTATTTGAAGGCATGGAAATGGTTGATTAACACAAGTGACGTCACCACAATCAGCCAAGTACATTTGGATCCCGTCACAAAATGCAGATAGAAAGTGTGTGAATTTAGGGACCATGGAACAAAGGGTGGATCTTATATTAAAGTTATCTATAAAAGGGGGTTCTTCTTTCAGAGTCGGCTCTGTGGCTAAGTCGATGCGAACGCTTTGCTTCGTAATGCCGAGATGCCAGGTTCGATCCCAGCTTCGGGCAATGCGCCTTGCGTTGGTTTCGACAATGGTATCAAGAAAGCCGACCTTCCAGGAAGCAATGGCAAACTAGTGGATGTAAATTGCCTAGAGAAACCACACAACAGCCAGGGGCTGTTAGGGTTGGTTCTGCAACGTCCTGTAAAGGATACGCAACTAACTTCTTTCAGAGGAAGCCCTCCCCCTCCCCTCCCCTAATCGTAAAACAAATCTACATTTATTTAAGTACAAAATTATGCCTGTATTCAAGGTATAAAGTCGGTGTATAATTCCTGTATTACCCCGTGCGGGTTCCGGGGCCCTATTATAGGGACACAATAATAGACCCACTGCTTACCCACAAGCATGTCGTAAGAGTCGACTAATTGGTAGCTTCCTTCGAAGTCGGAATGCATCTGCCGGAGAGGAAACTAACCAACAGTTTGCACACACATGTGTCAGATCTGTCAATAGGATGTACACGCAACATTCAGGTTCTGGAACAGGACTGCAGTCCAAAAGTGGACGAACAACCAGAACTTTCCTCCAGAGTTTACTGCTGGTGAGCGCGAAGAAGAAGACGAAGATTCATGTATTCTATAACTGTTGTTTCAAACTGTACTGTTGGTGTGGCTAAAGAAGACATCATTTTCTTTGTGGGGGAAAAAAAGGGGGTGGGTCGGTCCTAGTACACTTTATTCCAACAGCTTTGGAGGTGAGAGGTTCCAATTCCGGTACGGTAACTATAGCTTTCGATTTTTAAATTCTCTAGTGTGTCTTTCTTTCTTTCTACTTCTTTCTATGAGTTCCGATCAATATATCTCTTTTTATTTTATATGTTACGAGTATCGTGAAAAATTCGTGGCATGGCTTGTTTTCAGGCTTAATTCTTTTCCAAAGAGGAAACATGACGCATGAAAAAACAGTACCTCCATGTATCTATGTGTTAATGTGTGGATTATCGTTATCTGAGTTGATGTTTTTACGTAATTAAATCGTAATCTGTGTGTTTTATGACGATCATACCTGGGCAAACTGCAGTATCCCAATGCAGTTTTCGTGAGAGAGGTTTCTGTGCAGATATTCGCAGCACAACTTGAGAAGCCCCGTGACGTGGTACTGATCGGCGACTGGAAGCAACAGCTCGATGTTTTCCGGTGTAAGCCGAGCCGTCCTCGTGTAGGCGAAGTCAATCAAAAGTCGGACGACCTCGGCGGGTAATCCGGGTATTGTAATTTCTTTCTTTTGTGTGCTGGATGGGGCAAACGGCTGTGCTCGGTTACTATTTAGGTTTTTTTTCTTATTAGCCGACCACAAATAGGGGAAACCCACAGGTCACGGGACAGTCAAATATTTCAGTGGGTGGTAGATTAAGCGTATAGTTTGTGTTAGGGTAAGGCAAAGGCGTGAAAACCTTGGCCTTAAAAATAAAAAAAAAAACGGGCTAAAGCATAGAAAACACAGAAAACCCACTCTCACCACCCTCTAAATAAAATACTGGACTCTCCCATGATGTAATGTGTGGTCGGCTAAAAGAAAAAGTACCACTATTTACATACCCAAACACGATTGTCAAACGCATAGTTATCATATGAAGCGTTTTTATTAGTTGAATGAGAAAGCATGTACGCCTAAAAGTTAACAACGACCCAAATGAAAAGGTTCGACAAGCTAGATGTTGTCAGGATCTTAGGGGGGGGTGGGGGTGGGGAGTAAGCAGTGCGGAGACGCACTTAGAGTATCATGGTCTGAAAAAAATGGTACAACAGGGAGTGACTAGAGGATTTGGCCGACCCTCAACACTAAGAGACGGACTTATGGACTTACAGACTGTTATTAGTAACATGGGAGTAGGAACTCCTCACTGGCTGTTGAAGATAGGGACACAGCGCTTATCGGGGTGTCAAGAGTGCTATGAAGTCAGTTTTTAAAACCAAACTGAACGAACTGTCAACTGATTCTTGCAACCCTAAGGTATTCTTGTGTGCAATGCAACAATTTCACTGATTGTGTGCAATGCAACAATTTCACTGATTGTGTGCAATGCAACAATTTCACTGATTAAGTTACAAATATTTTGAACCAAATGTCGAAATTATGTGCCACGATTATCTTCCTATTAGTTAGTTAGTCTTTCCTCTTGAGCCTGAGGCGGTGCATAGGGCAGAGGTTATAGCTGTCCATGTCTGACGGTTTGTTGCCACCTGTTTTAGGTCTTTGATATTCACTAGACCCCTGGTTCAACCTTCCATGATGATGATTATATGCACAGTCTCTCTTGATCTTCCTCGTTTTTTTCCCATCCGGTGCCCATATTAGGACTTGTCTTATCCATTCTGAGTGCATGTCCCATGTAGTTCAGGCGGAACTTTCTTATAAAATTGGATACATTTTCTTGCTTGGTCTCTTGTTGCGTTGCTGGTTGCTTCCCCCTGTTTTTTTTTTTTTTTTACACAACTGCTCAAGACATATGTCAAAACACCCTTTTCAACGTTTTCAGGGGTATTAGGTGTATAAGGTTAGAGCTATGTTGTATAGACCAGTCGGCCCTCGTTAGGTGGTGTAGTCGACATCATAATTGTTTTGGGGGTCGCCACAACATGGGTGAACTATATTGAAGGGTCGCAGCATTAGTTGAGGGCCACTGGTGTAAATAAACTGTTACAAATCATAGGGGTCTCTGTGACGTAGTGGTCAAGCCGTTTGCCCCGCGCTCTGTGGGTTTGTTTCCCTGTTGTGCCTTTTGGTTCACAAGTGCAGTTTTTATGGAGTTCCTGACGATTATCGCCAGTGTTACATTGTTCGTACTGTGTGCGATGCTGTCGATAGGCGGCTGGCCGTATGCGGAGAGAGACCGAGACATACAGAATGAAACCCGATGGAACGAAGCCAATCCCCTCGACTGTAGAATTAGCTACAGGGAAACGACGAGCTAGCGATAGACAGTTCCAACATGTTGCCTTATGGAAGCTGTATGGCTGATCTACATGGACCCATGAAGTGTTGGGAGATGGTAGAAGGTTCAAAACTATCGTCTTATCGAAGCTATATGGCTGATCTGCATGGAACCAATGAAGTAATGAAAGATAGTGGAAATTTCCAATCTATCGTCTTATAAAAACTAATTGATTAAACTACCAAGAATCGATGATCTGATGAAAGATGGTGGAAAGTTTCGATCTATGCTCACTGAAAACTAATTGATAAAACTATTAGGAATCGATGATCTGATGAAAGATGGTGGAAAGTTTCGATCTATGCTCACTGAAAACTAATTGATAAAACTATTAGGAATCGATGATCTGATGAAAGATGGTGGAAAGTTTCGATCTATGCTCACTGAAAACTAATTGATAAAACTATTAGGAATCGATGATCTGATGAAAGATGGTGGAAAGTTTCGATCTATGCCCACTGAAAACTAATTGATAAAACTATTAGGAATCGATGATCTGATGAAAGATGGTGGAAAGTTTCGATCTATGCTCACTGAAAACTAATTGATTAAACTAGAAGGAATCGATGATCTGATGAAAGATGGTGGAAAGTTTCGATCTATGCCCACTGAAAACTAATTGATAAAACTATTAGGAATCGATGATCTGATGAAAGATGGTGGAAAGTTTCGATCTATGCCCACTGAAAACTAATTGATAAAACTATTAGGGATCGATGATCTGATGAAAGATGGTGGAAAGTTTCGATCTATGCCCACTGAAAACTAATTGATTAAACTATTAGGGATCGATGATCTGATGAAAGATGGTGGAAAGTTTCGATCTATGCTCACTGAAAACTAATTGATTAAACTATTAGGGATCGATGATCTGATGAAAGATGGTGGAAAGTTTCGATCTATGCTCACTGAAAACTAATTGATTAAACTAGAAGGAATCGATGATCTGATGAAAGATGGTGGAAAGTTTCGATCTATGCTCACTGAAAACTAATTGATTAAACTAGAAGGAATCGATGATCTGATGAAAGATGGTGGAAAGTTTCGATCTATGCCCACTGAAAACTAATTGATTAAACTAGAAGGAATCGATGATCTGATGAAAGATGGTGGAAAGTTTCGATCTATGCCCACTGAAAACTAATTGATAAAACTATTAGGGATCGATGATCTGATGAAAGATGGTGGAAAGTTTCGATCTATGCCCACTGAAAACTAATTGATTAAACTATTAGGGATCGATGATCTGATGAAAGATGGTGAAAAGTTTCGATCTATGCTCACTGAAAACTAATTGATTAAACTAGAAGGAATCGATGATCTGATGAAAGATGGTGGAAAGTTTCGATCTATGCCCACTGAAAACTAATTGATTAAACTAGAAGGAATCGATGATCTGATGAAAGATGGTGGAAAGTTTCGATCTATGCTCACTGAAAACTAATTGATTAAACTAGAAGGAATCGATGATCTGATGAAAGATGGTGGAAAGTTTCAATCTATGCCCACTGAAAACTAATTGATTAAACTAGAAGGAATCGATGCTCTGATGAAAGATGGTGGAAAGTTTCGATCTATGCTCACTGAAAACTAATTGATTAAACTAGAAGGAATCGATGATCTGATGAAAGATGGTGGAAAGTTTCGATCTATGCCCACTGAAAACTAATTGATAAAACTATTAGGGATCGATGATCTGATGAAAGATGGTGGAAAGTTTCGATCTATGCCCACTGAAAACTAATTGATTAAACTATTAGGGATCGATGATCTGATGAAAGATGGTGAAAAGTTTCGATCTATGCTCACTGAAAACTAATTGATTAAACTAGAAGGAATCGATGATCTGATGAAAGATGGTGGAAAGTTTCGATCTATGCCCACTGAAAACTAATTGATTAAACTAGAAGGAATCGATGATCTGATGAAAGATGGTGGAAAGTTTCGATCTATGCTCACTGAAAACTAATTGATTAAACTAGAAGGAATCGATGATCTGATGAAAGATGGTGGAAAGTTTCAATCTATGCCCACTGAAAACTAATTGATTAAACTAGAAGGAATCGATGCTCTGATGAAAGATGGTGGAAAGTTTCGATCTATGCCCACTGAAAACTAATTGATTAAACTAGAAGGAATCGATGCTCTGATGAAAGATGGTGGAAAGTTTCGATCTATGCCCATTGAAAACTAATTGATTAAACTAGAAGGAATCGATGATCTGATGAAAGATGGTGGAAAGTTTCAATCTATGCCCACTGAAAACTAATTGATTAAACTAGCAGGAATCGATGATCTGATGAAAGATGGTGAAAAGTTTCGATCTATGCCCATTGAAAACTAATTGATTAAACTAGAAGGAATCGATGATCTGATGAAAGATGGTGGAAAGTTTCGATCTATGTCCATTGAAAACTAATTGATTAAACTAGCAGAAATCGACGATCTGATGGGAGATGCGAGTATACCTGAAAGCGTGGCTGGTAAACAAGGACTTGAAGTACGGACTGCAGGCCGACATGATGTTCCGGTGTATAGGGTAAGACTGGTTTTTTACCTGCAGACACCATTGAGGCAGAGATTTGATAGAAGACTGCACTCGTTCTTTGGTCTGTCGGTCTGCCCATCTCTGTCTGTCTGCCCATCGCTGTCTGTCTTTCGGTCTGCCCATCGCTGTCTGTCTGTCTGTCTTTCGGTCTGTCTGTCTTTCGGTCTGTCTGTCTGTCTGTCCGTCTGTCTGTCTGTCTGTCTGTCTGTCTGTCTGTCTGTCTGTCTGTCTGTCTGTCTGTCTGTCTGTCTGTCTGTCTGTCTGTCTGTCTGTCTGTCTGTCTGTCTGTCTGTCTGTCTGTCTGTCTGTCTCTCTCTCTCTCTGTTGGTAAACCTTTAGACAGCAGTCCAAAGTATACAAACTGATCGATTGATCGAATACTGAACTGTTTGTAACGTTAACTGCGGGTATTACGTAACAGCTGGAATCCCCATATTTATGTTTCTTAAACATTTGATTGGTTTTTTTTTCCGAGAATGAACTTATTTCTTTTTCGTCTCTTCCTAGCGCTCACCGGCTGTAAAAAGAGGAACCGTACAACCGTTGAGCTGAGTCAAGAATTGACATCACAGCACTCGGTGCCTGCTCTGTCCTCATCTTCAGCAGCCAGCGCAGATTTCTAATACTGATGGTCCCGGTCACAATATATCCGTCTTGCCGTGTAGTGAGCCAGCCAGACCCTCTGTTTACACCCAAGTGCCTCATTCTCTCCAGGCCAAAGTAATCTTGTTTCTCTGCTGATTTCGTTGCTTGTTCTTAAAGGGCCTTGACCACATCTGCCTTGTCATGTATTAATTCACCACCCACTGCTGTAGATCCAGCCAATCTGTATGCCTGATCATTACCCACTACGCCGGCATCAAGAAAAGACCCAAAGTATGCTTACTACCCGTAACCTTTCCAGTGAAGCTTGCCACCCTGCTCGAAGCAACGAACTGGCAGTGAGAATCAATAGGCAGCTCGACTGACAATCAAACGAACTGACAGACAGGGAGATGGACAAACTAAATGACTGAAATACAGACAGATAGATATGCAGACAGACACACATACTGACAATAGGCAAAATGGTTGATAGACATACAAAATAACTGAAATACAAATATATGGACAGAAAAACAAACTTTCAGTTGGACAGACAAAATGAATCAAATACACACACACACACGCACACACACAGATTTACACAAACAGTCATATAACTGACAAACACGGCGATGGACAAACAAAATAAATGGAATTCAGACATATAGACGCAACACATACACAGACAACAGACACAGTCTTGTAGACAGATGAATAGACAGTGGTGTGGATAGTTATACGGCACTCAAAGAAAGAAACAAAAACGCGAAACAAATTAAATACCTTTATAACCGCATCGCAGAATTTGCCCGCCTGTCTCAGTTCTGCCAGAATCCCAAACAAGGCGTCTCCGTTTCTATAGCAACCATCCCCACCGGATTCTAAATCTAGCTCTTCTATGTCAGTATCCATTAGGATTTAGACTCTAATTTCTTCCCGGATGTCAAGACGCGGATGTCACGTGTGGTGACTGGAGAAAACCAATCTTTATTGAATTGTCTTTTACTGGGGAAATGATAAAAATGGAAAATACTGATTTAATAATGAAATTTATTTGTTCGAAATCAAGATGCTTAAATAAATAAACAAATTCAAATATTTGTGAACTGAAACAAAAAATTTGCAAAGCGCCAAATATTATCTACAAGAACCAATGGTCATAGTGAAAAAGTCGTCCCCCAGGAGGATGCAATTTTTCTTTATTTTGAAGCCCCACCCTGGATGTTGCCAGGGGCCCTAATATAACCTTACGGTTGAACGGGGTTTCCGGGACCTCTCTCTACGAGTGATCCTCCTCCGTATGGAGGCACTTTGCGTCACCTGGTGTTTATCGCTTGTGTGATGTCCTGGTGGCGTAAAACTTACATACTTACTATGGTCATAGTGTATGGACACTATCCTTATCTTCTGTACATAGTTCATGCTGTGTTGCCTTGGTAGTCATGTCTATCCACAATCTTTTTCTCATGTACCTTCAATCATTTCTGACACAGATGATCTGTACGGCCTTCCGTAACGGATGCGCATTTAACTTGTTTTTAAATGCAGTGCCGTCTTCCCACTGAAGGTTGGATATAATGTACCTAGGGTTTTCTGTGGGCGTATTACATGGTGAGCCCCAGTTACGCTTCAAGGAGGCAACTCTTCCCCCATACATCATCATCATCATCTTCAGTTTTCACTTCTACCGTTAAGCGTTGTGGGGAGGAACAGTTTGCGATCCATTGCTTGATGGGCTGCAATGGCTACTGTCATTCCGTGTCGATGAAGAAGGTCTTTAATGTCATCAATCCATATTCTCCTAGGGCGGCCTCTTGCTTTCACTTGAGATCATTTTATGTCTAGCGCCTGCGTTGGTAGTTGTTCTGGCTGCATTCTTACTAGATGACCAAACCATTCGATCTTCTGTTTCTCAATGAAATTTTGCAGGTGTTAATTTTACGTAGGTTAATCTTTGATAATGTCCAAGTCTGGCACTGGTAACACAGTGTTGGCGTGAATATGCTGTTTATAATCTGTTTCTTGGCGCACATACTTATGATTGGGTGTCCTTATAACGGTGTCAGTTGGCATAGAAATGCACCGGCTCGTTGGCATCTTGTTTCTATTTTCCGATCTGTTGTTCCATCCTCCAAGAATATACTTCCTTAATATTTAACTTCTTTAACTTGCTTCAGACAGGTACAATGCAACCCGATATGTAGCGGACTAGTTCCGCTGACCTGCATTGCTTCATTTTCTTCATAAATTCAGTTAGTTCTGGTTCTTTGTTTCCTAATCCGCTAACATTCCAAGTACTAAATATCTCACGTTTGCTTTTGGCTGTTGCTGTTGTTGTTCGCTTGTTCTATGTGTGTGTGTCTCCGGTCTGAACAGCGCTGATAGAATCACGCGTTTCCTGTAATGCCCTCCATAATTCTCGAGCAATATCAGTTTAAGAAATAAATTCCTTATCGATTTGCTGGACCTGTCGTATGTCCATCCTTGATTGAACACGTTAGTGTTAAAAACACATACTAGAACACATCTTAACCTTCATACGAAGACATAAAAGACCAATCACCTGTTTGCCTAAATTACGAACTACAATTACAAACTACAATTACAAACTACAATTACAACTACAATTACAAACTACAAATACAAGCTACAATTACAAGCTACAATTACAAACTACAGTTACAAACTACAATTACAAACTACAATTACAAACTACAAATACAAGCTACAATTACAAGCTACAATTACAAACTACAATTACAAGCTACAATTACAAACTACAGTTACAAACTACAATTACAAACTACAATTATCACACAAAGAAAATCGGAACGGTTAGAGGCAACGAGCTGGTATGGCCTGCGGACTATGTGAGAGAATCGGCCACAGCGAAGGTATGGGAGGCCAAGAACCAAGAAAAAAAAAATATATACAGTCCTCACCTACTGGAAACGCTGAGCATGGAGACACTGAGATGGGTCTTGCACCGGAGGACGGAGCAAGAATGGGTCAGACCAATGTGCCAAGATGTCGGTACAGATAATAGGTAACAAGTAATACCTACCTCAAAGCAACCAATGAATTCGTCTGTTACAACAACACGCGCGCGGGCGAGCACACACACACACACACACATATATATATATATTGAAATAAAATATTTTACTGATAAGAATACAAAAGACAAGAGGAGCTTTTAAAGCACTAGGGAATTTGTGGAGGTTAAAAGAAATTAAACGAAATACCAAACTTAAAATTTTTTATTCTAATGTCAAATCTGTACTTTTGTGTGGGGCGGAAGCATGGAGAACAACTAAGGCAATTACTAATAAATTATAGACATTCATTAACTGGTGCCTGCGCAGAAAAGAGGGAATTAAATGGTATGATAGAGTCACTAATGTATAGCTTTGGGAGAGAACTAAACAAGCGAAACTGGACCAAGAGGTGAAGAAGCTACGCTGGCGTTGGATAGGACACACAATGAGAAAACCAGAGAAAAATATAACTAGAATGTCATCGCACTGGAACCTACAGAGGCATAGAAATAAAGAAAGGGAAAAAAACACACACACACACACATGGGGGAAGAGAGCCGGAGAATGAAGTTAGAGAGATGGGGAGGACATGGGGAGAGCTGCATGCGATAGCAAAGGATAGAACGACTTGGCGTGAATTGGTTGAGGGCCTATGCTCCGTTGGGGGATAGAAAGGCAGAAGAAGAAGAATAATAATAAAACAAAATAGTAACTCTACTTACCTACAATTATCTTTCTCTCCTAGTAAGAGAGGAATGGATGGTTTACAAGAAAACCGATAACTATCTTTCATATTCTCCAAGAAATTATAAACCAAATGGCCAACATGGAGGCCTCACTGCTGCAGAACGATGCTTGATTGAAGGTCTGACAGCCTGTTGATGTTGTCGGACACACTGGCTGTGTTGCTGGATGGAGGAGAACCTGGTTTGTTTCCTGTCACCTTATAAAGTATGACGACCATTGTTACGTCAGCTAGTCTTGCACCATTGCAAACTGTTTTGGTGTGCAAATTATTTTTCTCATCATCATCATCATCATCATCATCAGGCGCCTTGCCGACTTGAGTGGGCTATCATGCCTTTCCACAATCTGCGATCCACAGCTGCGTGTCACAGTTCGTATATTGACACCACTCCATACCATTACAAAAAGCCGCCAAGAATCTTCTCGCATTGTATTCCTCTGTCTCTCTTTCCATAGATTTTCCCAGTGGTCCCAACTTGCTCCATTTTCTGTCTTCTCATACATGACCTAAAAAAAATTATGCCTGTCTTTTTAAGATGTTTGGGATATTAACCCTCCCCCTCCCTTTGCAGCTTTACAGGGTATGCCTCTTTAGACAAAGGCTATGGAAGTAAAACCATAAACAAACCGGCGGGAGGTTAGGGGAAACCACAGCTGTATTTTCACTAGTAATTTAAGGCTAAAATACCTCAACTTCAAGGAGAGGGTGCTGTTTATGAGCCAATTCTCTAGCTGCTCAGATCGTGTACGCCATTGTTGGTGTTTTCATCTTCTTTCTTGTACATGATGCCATACTCGTATGTCTATAGATCAATTGAGAATACACGAGGAGACCACACACGTCTCCTTTACATCCTAGGACATTCCCAGACACCCATACTACTTTTCGTCCTTCTTAGGACGTTACTTTTTGTTATTTGAAGCCCCACTCTGGCTTTTGCCAGGGGCCGCAATATAGGCAGGTCATCATTATGGCCAAATGTCTGAAAGCGGTTTCTGGGACCTCTCCACGGTGATCCTCATCCGCATGGTGGCACTTTGTGTCATCGGGTGTTTATCGCTTGTGTGATGTCCTGGTGGGGTAAAAAATCCAATCCAATCCAGACACCCATTGAATTCCAGAGAAATTTGACTAAAAAGCTCAACAAAATGGGAAAGAGGAAAACGTGCACAAAACAACACAGCGTTACGTTGTGTTGTTTTTGTGCACGTTTTCCTCTTTCCCATTTTGTTGAACTTTTTAGTCAAATTTCTCTGGAATTCATTGCATTAGCTTGACTGCAGTCAGCCCCATAGTTTCACCAGACACCCATTGTAGGTAGGCTGGTCTGACCTGAAAGCCATGGCCACTAAAAACATCTTTCTGTGCGGTTTCTAGCTGAAGACTGCTGGGCCAACAGGCGAACGTCAAACCACACGCTAAGAAAGGAAACAATGGACTCTAAGAAATTAATTCTTCAAGGTTCTCATATTTTGTCCGTTTCCTTTTCTTTTAACTCGTTCAATTTGAGCATGGAAAGACAGGAAATTAAAATATTTTCGCTGCAGTAAACAACAAAACAAATAAAAACACTCAACAAGCGATTAAAGAATTGTCTAATGCTGTAATGTTGAATTTAGTTCATCTGCACAAAATTAAAAGCATGTAAGTGCAGAAGAATTAAATACATGAAGATTTGAAAATACACCTGTGCTGGGAAGTGGGGTCGATCAATAAAATCTGATCTACTTGTAGTGTGTCGACAAATGTAAAATCTTATAATGGGGAGACGAAACAACGAAACAAATATTTGTAGTAGGATGAAAGAAGTTTAGTGCAAAGAAAAGTTTCGGGAAAGGATTATTTCTCGCTAGTTGGAGCCTTCAAGCAGCATTAAAGTTTCTTGAACAGGAAACAAGTGAGTTTTTATTAAAGAAATTATTTTATTGCAAATATGGTGTGTGTAGAAGTACAGTTGAGTTAGGGGTACTTTTCATAGTTCAACAAGAAATAGTCGATGAATGATAAAATAATGGATGGAGACTGGGGAAACACCAGAGGCCGTCAACAACAGTAGAGATGGCAGATGGCTGGGTATATATTGATATATTCTCTGAACATTTGTTGGTTTAGGTTAGTTAAACGACGGTTTTGTGATAAAATTAAAAAAAAAAAATTGAGAAAAGATTGCAACTTTTAGAAGTGTCTACACACAAATTAAAAACAAAAATAGCGAGACGTCATTGAAAAGTATTATTAGTAGTTTAGTTGAGTTAAAGAAACTTTCAAAACTGCTATATTATTAATTAACTGTTATTATTGGTGCTTTCCCAATATCCCCCCCCCCAGGATGACGTCACAGGACAGTCCAGTAATTCCGAGGGTGGTAAGAGCTAGTTTCCCAGCTTTCTGATGCCTTTAACTACCCCAAAACATCTACAACTGGGGTTACCCCAACCCACCTACACCCTACAAGAGACTGTAAACTATGTCCCATGACTGCATGCAGCCTATTTACTACCCCATAAAATATTTGAATGTCTGTTGGGGGTGGGGGGGGGGGGAGGATTGCAATAGAACCATTGTATTATACATTTATTGCTAATAATAATAGTAAAATAATCAAGTGATAACAGCTGGAATACATACAATTGAAAAAAAAAATAACATTTGCTGGAAAGTAAATGTTCTTAAAGGCTGGTGCCATTTATATTTATAACCTGTTTTTTTTTTTCTGATCCTTTTTTGTATATTGTCATCACACACACACGCACATCTTTTTGCCCTAGAAAAAAGATGCAGGTGCACACCACAGAGTGTGTAAGAGAATGCCAGTACTCACTACAAGGCATCTATTCCATTAGCCTTGACAGAAAAAAGATGCCTACAAAGATGCTGGTACTGCATACCGTTGCATACCTCCAGAAAAAAGCCTGTATATATATATATATATATATATATATATATATATATGTGTGTGTATGTGTGTGTGTGTGTATACAAAAATGGTTTTCTGTAGTGAATATACAGTATACAGCCACTGTTGTTTTTGGAAATATAATTAGGTGATGAGGCTCGGTTATCTCATTCTTCTTCTTCTTTGTGTTTAGCAGCTGTAAACTCTGGTGGAAAGTTCTGGTTATTCGTCCACTTCTTGACTTCAGTCCTGTTCCAGAACCTGAGTGATGCGTGTGCATCTGTTTAACAGATCCGACACTTTTGTGTGCAGACTGCTGGTTCCTTTGCCTCTCAGGCAGATGCACTCTGACTTCAAAGGAAGCCTCTAATTAGTCGACTCTTACGACAATATTTTGGGTCTATTCTTGTTTTCTCTATAACAGGGCCTGGAACCCACTCGGGAAGGTCATCTTATGATGTGACCCTTGAACTACTGTGCTAAAGCCTATGGTGGATAGCCTTGTATGTAATACTTCATTGTTGTGTATAAGTTCACATAATACTAATATTCTTCTATATGTAATAGTGTTTAAGATTAGGGTTAGGGTTAGAGTTGGGGCTAACCCAAACCCTAAACCAAACCCTTACCCTAACCCTAATCTCAAATAATATTAAATATGAAAGAATGTTTACATATAATGAACGTACACTAACAATGGATTGTTAATCTTAGCTCGTTTTGTGTGTGTGGGTTATTTCAAATCCACACTCTGGCTGTCGTCGCGGGCCCTGATATAACCTAACGGTTGAACTGGCTTTGTGAGACTTATTCCAGGGTGATTCTTATCCGAATGGTGGCACCTAGATTTTATGGAACCTGCACAGGGAATTATGGGATTTAATGATCAGGGAGCTCTGCAGCCCTTCCAAGGACACTCTAACAACTACACCACTGTACCTCATTTATGTGCCTTTTACTTCTAAAAAAAAAGGTGCAGGTACTCACCACAGAATGTCTAAAAATGCCAGTACTCACCACAGAATGACTAAAAATGCCAGTACTCACCACAGAATGTCTAAAAATGCCAGTACTTACGACAAGGGCATTTATTCCATTAGCATTGAAAACAAAAGTGAAAGATGCCTAAAATGGTGCTGGTACTGCCTACCTTTGCATACCACACACACAAAAAAAGACTGTGTATCATATGTGTGTGTTTAAAAAAATGTTTTGGTTTGTTGTAGGGTACACACACACATACATACACACATATACACACAAGACAGCTTTCTGTATAAACTCTGTCTGAAACTGTAACTGATTCATAAAATGTGTTAAGAAAGGTGGATGCTGCGTGGCAAGCATTGCTTCATGCGTCCTGCCCGAGTGCTGGGAAATGAACAGCCAGACTGATTGTCTGGTTCTGCACCAGTGGGTGGTGAATTTATGCATGTGCCCTTTGGGAGCAAGTCAACAGTGTGGAGGCATGAATAGACAGTTATGGTCTGGGGAGAATGGTACAGCTAGGAGTGACCGGGAGATCTGGTTGATATTCTACACTCAGGGGAGAATGGTACAGCTAGGAGTGACCGGGAGATCTGGTTGATACTCTACACTCAGGGGAGAATGGTACAGCTAGGAGTGACCGGGAGATCTGGTTGATACTTTACACTCAGGGGAGAGAATGGTACAGCTAGGAGTGACCGGGAGATCTGGTTGATACTCTACACTCAGGAGGGAGAATGGTACAGCTAAGAGTGACCGGTAGATCTGGTTGATACTTTACACTCAGGGGAGAGAATGGTACAGCTAGGAGTGACCGGGAGATCTGGTTGATACTTTACACTCAGGGAAGAGAATGGTACAGCTAGGAGTGACCGGGAGATGTGGTTGATACTTTACACTCAGGGGAGAAAATGGTACAGCTAGGAGTGACCGGGAGATGTGGTTGATACTTTACACTCAGGGGAGAGAATAGTACAGCTAGGAGTGACCGGGAGATCTGGTTAATACTTTACACTCAGAGGAGAGAATGGTACAGCTAGGAGTGACCGGGAGATCTGGTTGATACTTTACATTCAGGGGAGAGAATGGTACAGCTAGGAGTGACCGGGAGATGTGGTTGATACTTTACACTCAGGGGAGAGAATGGTACAGCTAGGAGGGACTGGGAGATCTGGTTGATTCTTTACACTCAGAGGAACGATGAACATATAAGCAAATTGCTACTGGCACCATCGGAATTGGAACTCTTTGCTAGCTGCTGAAGATGAGGATGGTGCACTTATGGTAATATCCTGAGTTCTATGACATCAGTTCTTAGCTTAACACTCAACAACAACAGATTGAATTTCAGGAGAATGTTAGTAATTTAACTTGTTCTGCTTGAGGTCAGCTAATAACTGGAAATGTTACCCCATGACAGTCCACAGATTTCCACCAGTGACCTAAAGTGTTTCCATTAGGAAGTGATGAAGTCTTCTGTCTTAGTCTGAATGTAGCAGGTACAGATTTGGATCTCCTAGGGGGTCGTTACTTAAGCAACAGAGTTTGTGCTTTGTGAGACTTTTTTGACATGTGACAAGATTCACCAGCCTCTCCAAAATGTTACTACAGAGCTCTGCAAAAGAGAAGAGGCAGAACAAGAAAGATCTGGATACAGAATCTGTCTTTCAGAAGGAGACAATCTAGTACACTCTTTGGTCATGACAGGAGAAGGAGAAAACTGGAGTACATCGTGGCGGTGGAAAACCAGCAGAGGCAGACTGAAAGAGAATATGCCAGACAGTGTGACATCGTGGCGGGAAAGATCATCTGTGTCAGAGTTAATTGTAAGTACATGAGACAGAAGGTTGGTGATAGACATGACTACCAGTAATGCATGGCATGGACTTTGAGATGTGACACTTTTGATGGAAAAGCTGCTTCACTGTAGGAGAGAGTGTGATACTTGGAGGATAATATCCTGAGTTGGTCGGTACACTTACAAAGACCCTTTAGAATTGTAAATGTATTGAAATACAATTGAAGTCATTTTACATAAATTGGACTTGTAGGGTAGAGTCCAGAGTAAAGCTTTAACAGCTGCAGTCACTTTAAGAAGCCTTTCAACAACTAGGGTCACTCTAAGTAGATTTCAATAACAACTGCAGGCTCTTTAAGTTGACCTCAAGCAGAGTTGCAGTTACTGGGGTCACTCTGGGCAAGAAGGGTATCAGCAATAGAGTCACTCTAAGCAGTTTGAGTAATTGGAGTCACTCTAAATAGTGTCAAAAACTAGAGTCAGGCTGAGTTTCAATAACTAGAATCACTCTCAGCAGAGTTTCAACAACTGCAGTCACTCTAGAGTTTCACTAACAGCAGTCACTCTTGAGTTTCAACAACTGAAATCACTATGAGCAGAGTTTCAACAACTGCAGTCACTCTAGAGTTTCAGCAGCTGCAGTCACTGTAGAGTTTCAACAACTGCAGTCATTCTAGAGTTTTAACAACTGCAGTCACTCTAGAGTTTCAACAGCTGCAGTCACTCTGAGCAGAGTTTCAACAACAGCAGTCACTCTAGAGTTTCAACAACAACAGTCTCTCTGAGCAGAGTTTCAACAACTGCAGTCACTCTAGAGTTTCAACAACTGCAGTCACTCTAGAGATTCAACATCTGCAGTCTCTCTGAGCAGAGTTTCAACAACTGCAGTCACTCTGAGCAGAGTTTCAACAACTGCAGTCACTCTTGAGTTTCAACAACTGCAGTCACTCTTAGAGTTTTAACAACTGCAGTCACTTTGAGTAGAGTTTCAACAACTGCAGTCACTCTGAGCAGAGTTTCAACAACTGCAGTCACTCTTGAGTTTCAACAACTGCAGTCACTCTTAGAGTTTCAACAACTGCAGTCACTTTGAGCAGAGTTTCAACAACTGCAGTCACTCTGAGCAGAGTTTCAACAACTGCAGTCACTCTTGAGTTTCAACAACTGCAGTCACTCTTAGAGTTTCAACAACTGCAGTCACTTTGAGTAGAGTTTCAACAACTGCAGTTATTCTTGAGTTTCAACAACTGCATCACTCTGAGCAGAGTTTCAACAACTGCAGTCACTCTAGAGTTTCAACAACTGCAGTCACTCTGTGCAGTTTCAACAACTGCAGTCACTCTAGAGTTTCACTAACTGCAGTCACTCTAGAGTTTCACTAACTGCAGTCACTCTAGAGTTTCACTAACTGCAGTCACTCTAGAGTTTCAACAACTACAGTCACTCTTAGAGTTTCGACAACTGCGGCCACTGTGAGTAGTTTCACTAACTGCAGTCACTCTAGAGTTTCAACAACTGGGGCTACTGTGGGTAGTTTCAATAACTGCAGTTGCTTTGTAGTGGACTGTTATGAGTACTTGCACACCCCCTTATTTTTTTAGAGAAAAAACCCTGCGTTAAAACATCCCTGCTAATAACTTGCCACAGGAAAATTCCAGGGACATAAATCAGCGCATAGACTAGTGGAGCTATCAGGAGGTAAGCAGTAAAATTGATAGCAGAACTTGATATGGAAGGGGAGACAATTGTAACTTCAGCGCGAAATTATGCTCCCTCAGTCAGTGTTTCTCAACCTTTTTACACCTGTGGCTCAGCTGACATTCAGGCCAAAAAAAAAAAAACAAAGGGGGGGGGGGGGGGGGAATTAGGTGACAGTTTACACGTTAAATACGATTTTACTTACCTATAATTTTCGGCTAATGTGACATCTCCCGCCGCTGTTTAGAGGTTTTAAACGTTTATATACGTGATTGGAGCGTTGTTTCTGATATAAGCGAAACGCTGCAATCACATTCATTCCATTTCTTTGTTTGATTTTTATGAGAAAGACAATTCACACAAATAGGATGTTGAAAAAATGATCAGCTGTCTGATAGCTCTCAAAGAACGATGTTCTTGTCTTGTTATATGATTAGGCAGAAATTATGGGTAACACGCGAGGGGATCTTGCCACGTTCAGCGCTCAAGGGAAGGGTGAGCGGAAATACAACCTGGCTGTTACTGGTACTATCGGAATTTGAACTGTGCGCTTGCTGCTGAATATGGGGATGGAGCGCTCGTGTTCCTAGTGCTGTGATGTCGGTTCCTAATTAATTACACATTACTGGTAACCCATCTGAACCATAGCTGGAAGAACACTGCCCTAATATGTCCTCTATATCACTGTGTGTAATATCTCACTGCCGCGGTTTTATAATCTCAGGCGGGAAGTGAATTATTCGATAAAGTGCAGTTAGACAACGCCAGCCCTGCATTGTTCACATTCCGTCGTGCTATTTGTTCGGTGATAGTGAAGCAGAAGCACTTGAGCATAGCTCATCTGGCTCAGTGTCGGGAGCATCGAAACCCCTTTATCCTCGGTGCCGCGGAAACCGTTAATCGGGGGAGTCTGCTGTCAAACCGGCAGTTGTCATTTGAAGAGCGCAGGCTTTATATCATCATCATCATTATTATCATCATCGGTTTTATAGGAAAACAATAATTAGAAACAAGCGCCAAGTTTAAACTGCATCACCGAAGGGGGAGCTTAAGGTTATAATTGTGACTAGGTTATTTGCGCCGTATAAAATGACTTAGCATTGCACGCCACATTAAAAAAAAAACCAAAAGACTCCTGGAGTAATGATGCTATCACAGGAGACAGACCCAACTACTGTTCCGATCGGTGACGAAGTCGTCTACCGGCGAGTCAGTGGACATTCCGTTCGTTGGCGAAGCTTTTTAAACCGCTGCTGGGGTATTATGTCATATAAATGCTGCCCAAGACCAACAGAATTAACAGTAAGAGAAGGTTTCATATTTCTTTGAGGAAAGTGTAGCAGTTGACTAATGCGAATGGGCAGTGTACCCCTAAGCCACCTTGTGTGTGAAAATACAGGAGCAAACCGAACAGACTATATCAGGGCTAAGACGGGAGCGACGTTCTGCAAAATAGCAGCTATATTATGATAATGATTCAGCCTTAGAAGCGTCTTGCGTTTACATGTAGTATTTGTAATACTGTGCATTATTTTATTTATTTGCTATTCAGAACATTACATTTAATTATAGATTAGGAGCATCTTTCTCTTTTTTGATCACATTTTATGTAGTGATTGAAAGGGGAGATACGTTTGTTGCAGTGTATTCAAGGAGGCGCCACCTGAACAAGCTTGGAGACTACTGGCGCAGAAGGATGTTACGCCAGGTCGCCAGGCGTGTTTAAAAAAAAAAAAAAATATTTTTCAGTTTACTGTTTTAATAGTTGGATTCTTGCCGTTTGTGTTTTGATGCGACTTATCCATTCCCTTTAGCAGAGTCCGTGTAGCAGGACTACACTTTGACCCTAGCCAAAAGGCGAAGCGAGAAATTCATTTAAATGCAATGTGCACCCCACTTCCCATTTCCCCCAATGTGTAATTCGCGTCGACGCCCCTGCTCGAACGTGACCTCTGACGTCTACTCTACTGTCATTATAATTTCAGAAAGGCAAACATTTTTTAAACACTAATTTAAAATACAGTGATTTATTAAGAGTGCGTGCTTTTAACAGATCTAGCTGAGCTGTCGTGTGCGTGGGCGCATGTTTGTATTGGAGAGAAACACTTGGATGTGCGGCTGTTTGAGAAGAGTGCTTCTGTAAAAGTGCGCGTTGTAACATGCGTTTGGTGAAGAACCTTGTAAGCTGCATCGTTACAGTCAGTTTGCTTGTTGCAGTTCTGAACATGTAAGCATTTGGAAGGCAAACAACATTTAATAATTCTGCTCTCTTTCTTTCTTTCTTTCTCCACTCCCACAACGTTTGCCAGATTGGCTCTCAACGGTTGTCGATATTTTTATGTTTAGCTTGTGATATTTTTCTTTCTGAAAATATCTTATAATTGAAAGCTATTTTGTTATTGTAAACTGCACGTTTATCATTAAAGGCTATACACATGTGGTTGGTTGTAGTTTTCTCCCTCTTTGACTTGCATCATCTGTTTGCCGCTGTTTGTTTTCTGTTGTTGTTGATGGGTGGTTGACTTGAATCATCTGTTTGCTGCTGTTTGTTTGTTTTCTGTTGTTATTAATGGGTGGTTGACTTGAATCATCTGTTTGCTGCTGTTTGTTTGTTTTCTGTTGCTGATGCGTGGTTGCAAAGAAATGCGTAATCACCCCCACCATGAAATATTTCAGTTCTTAGGGAAAGCGAATAATTAGTTATGTAACCTACTATAAACGCCTTTCTGGTTGTAGCAGCAATTGAAGTAGCAGTAGTAGTACTAGCAGCAGTCTTAGTAGTATCAGTCGTAGTAGTAGCAGCAGTCGTACTAGTAGTATCAGTACTAGTAGTATCAGTCGTAGTAGTAGCAGTAGTAGTAGTAGTAGTATCAGTAGCAGTAGCAGCAGCAGTCGTACTAGTACCGTATCGACGCCCGTGCTCCCAGCCTTGCGAAGTAATTTGTGTCGTCAGTTAGCCACTACCATAGGGGAAATGATGGACGACAGACATCGGTTATCAAACTGCCAAAGAAGGCAGTAAAGCTGCCACAGCGCTGAGAGCAGGGGCAAGCACTCAGTTAGGGTCTGCTTAGTTCAGGACGAGGCAGGCAGCTCTTCGCCGACCTTCTTGGCGTTCACCGGCACTAGACTCCAGTGGAAAGTTCGGGTTGTTCGTCCACTTCCGGACTTCGGTCTCGTTTCCAGAACTTGAGGTTTGCATGCACGTCTGTTATACAGATCTGCCTTACGTGTTGGTTCCTCGCGTAGACTGTTGGTTCATCGTCTCTTAGGCAGTTGCACTAGGGCTTTGAAGGAAACACGTATATTTTGTCCATTTTTACGAAATGATTGATGGGGGGGGGGGGGGGGGCGGGTGTATTCCCTGCTCCCAGTGGGGACCAGGATCCCAAGCGGGGACTAGACCTGTGTGCCCCATATCATGCTTGCGTTTGCAGACCCCGGTTAAAGAGTCCATGATATCAGGGTCCATAATGTGTGTGTGTGGTTTTTTTTGTGGGGGGGGGGGGGGGGCATTGGATGGATGGGTAGTTATGAATGCATCTGTGCCCAAATTTTTAAATTTTGGTGGATACCAGGCATTGAAGATGCCTTGGCTGGGAAAGCCCTATAGAACTGGAGAATGTGGTGGAGACATTAGAGAGACTTTCAGGGGTGTCATGGCGGGAAAGGGCGTTTTTTAAAGAACCTCGTGTGGTGTGAGAGAAAAATTTTATAAATTAAGTTTTTTTTCCCCCGGGGTGGGTTTTTAGACTAGGTGTCGTTTTAGACTTCAAATAAAACCTGTTTCTCCCGGGTAAGATCTGATATCAAGCATTTGGACCCCGCCCAGTTAGGGGGCGTCTGCCCAAACCCCGACAGCCATTTCATAGTGGGACCTGTTGTCGTCTGGGAACTAAACTAATGTCGGTTTCCCCCCCCCCCCCCCCCCCCCCCCCCCCAGTCTCGAGTGGCGCCCAAAGGGCAAAACTCCTACGCATCATTTCAGTAGTTCCATTTTACTAGTTTAATCGCCCCCTCGGGGGACACCCCTTTTCCCTTTTGCTCTTTCAGTACACCCAAAAGGGGCCAGTCCCGCAAACATCGCCGCTCCTTTTAAACACGCCTATATCGCCCAAGCAAAATATTTATAAACAAGGGGTATTTTGTGTTTACCGAATTGAGACCACGATTAGGGGTATATACATAACACTAG